GATACCACCTTACACCAGTTGGAATAGCAAAAATGGACAGGGAAAGAAACAACAAACGTTGGAGAGGTTGTGGAGAAAGGGGAACCCTCTTACACTGTTGGTGGGAATGCAAGTTGGTACAGCCACTTTGGAAAACAGTGTGGAGGTTCCTCAAAAATTTAAAAATAGAGCTACCCTATGACCCAGCAATTGCACTCCTGGGTATTTACCCCAAAGACACAGATGTAGTGAAAAGAAGGGCCATATGCACCCCAATGTTCATAGCAGCAATGTCCGCAATAGCCAAACTGTGGAAAGAGCCGAGATGCCCTTCAACAAATGAATGGATCAAGAAGATTTGGTCCATATATACAATGGAATATTACTCAGCCATCAGAAAGGATGAATATCCAACTTTTACATCAACGTGGATGGGACTGGAGGAGATTATGCTAAGTGAAATAAGTCAAGGAGAGAAAGTCAATTATCATATGGTTTCACTTATTTGTGGAACATAAGGAATAGCGTGGAGGACACTAGGAGAAGGAAGGGAAAAATGAGGAAGGTGGAATTGGAGGGAGAGATGAACCATGAGAGACTACGGACTCTGAGAAACAAACAGGGGAGGCGGGATTGGTTAGCCCGGTGATGGGTATTAAGGAGGGCACGTACTGCATGGAGCACTGGGTGTTATACAAAAACAATGGGTTGTGGATCACCACATCAAAAACTAATGATGTATGGTGACTAACATAACATAATAAAATTTTTTTAAAAAATGTAGTATGAGCATGAAAATTCTCAATGACTATCCATGACCTCTGATTCAAATTCAGACCAGATAGCCTGGCATTCAGAAATATCCCTGCTCTGGTCCCAGAAGACCCTCTCAACTTTGTAGTTTAAACTTGCCCTTCATGTACCTTACCCTTACAAAAACTAGAGTTAATCATTTCCTATCTCAGCCAGTTGAGATGGACCTTTTCTGAGTTTGTTTGGGTTGCTATAACAAAATACCTCAGACACGGTGGCTCGTAGACAGCATTTATTTCTCTCAGTTCTGAGGCTAAGTCTCAAGATCATGGTGCTAGCAGATTCGGCAGCTGGTGAGAGCTTCCTAGTGTTCAGCCAGCACCTTCTTGCTCTGTTCTCCTGTGGTGGAGGAGGGAAAGCAAGCTCTCTGGGGCCTTAATAGTAGGACACTTCTCACTTCCCAAACGTCCCATCTCCATTTAATATCATTACATTGGGGGTGAGAATTCCAACATACAATTTTAGGGGGACAAAAGCATTTAGACTATAGCACCTTTCCTTCAGAATCTGTCCCTGATTCTAGTTAGGCATTCTCTCCAGTTTCATTGCGCTTGTACTTTCCTTATAACAGTCTTTGTCCTTTGTTGGATAGGTTTTTGTCACACTGGTCGCATCTCCCCTACCTTGTTTGAAAGTCCTTGAGAACAGAATCTATATTTTACTACCTTATTCACCTTTTCATGCTAGGTGGTACCTTGCACAAAGTAGGCATTCAGTAAACATTTGTTAAATAGATTGCTGGTGGGTCAGAATGGCTAAAATTACCACGTCAGGAAACGACAGATGTTGGCAGGGATGTGGAGAAAGGGGAACCCTCCTACACTCTTGGTGGGAATGCAAGCTGGTGCAGCCACTCTGGAAAACAGTATGGAGGTTCTTCAAAAAGTTGAAAATAGAGCTACCATACAATCCAGAAATTGCACTACTGGGTATTTACCCCAAAGATACAAATGTAGGGATCCGAAGGGGTACGTGCACCCTGATGTTTACAGCAGCAATGTCCACAATAGCCAAACTGTGGAAAGAGCCAAGATGTCCATTGACAGATGAATGGATAAAGAAGATGTGGTATATATATACAATGGAATATTATGCAGCCATCAAAAGGAATGAAAGCTTGCCATTTGCAACGACGTGGATGGAACTGGAGATTGTTATGCTGAGCGAAATAAGTCAATCAGAGAAAGACATGTATCATATGACCTCACTGATATGAGGAATTCTTTATCTCAGGAAACTGAGGATTGCTGGAGTGGTTGGGGGTGGGAGGGATGGGGTGGCTGGGTGATGGACATTGGGAAGGGTATGTGCTATGGTGAGCACTGTGAATTGTGCAAGACTGTTGAATCACAGATCTGTACCTCTGAAACAAATAATACATTATATGTTAAAAAAAAAAAGAAGAAGAAGATAGCAGGAGTGGAAGAATGAAGGGGGGGAAATCGGAGGGGGAGACGAACCATGAGAGACAGTGGACTCTGAAAAACAAACTGAGGGTTCTAGAGGGGAGGGGGTGAGAGGATGGGTTAGTCTGGTGATGGGTATTAAAGAGGGCACGTTCTGCATGGAGCACTGAGTGTTATGCACAAACAATGAATCATGGAACACTACATCAAAAACTAATGATGTAGGGGCACCTGGGTGGCTCAGATGGTTAAGCGTCTGCCTTTGGCTCAGGTCATGATCCCGGGGTCCTGGGATCGAGTCCCACATCGGGCTCCCTGCTAGGCGGGGAGCCTGCTTCTCCCTCTGCCTCTGCCTCTCTCTCTCTCTCTGACTTTCATGAATGAGTGAATAAAACATTTAAAAAAAAAAAAAAACTAATGATGTAATGTATGGTGATTAACATAACATAATAAAAAAAAAGTTGAAAAAAAAAAAATAGATTGCTGGTGGAACTAAAGCTGGGGAGAACCAGATGCAGAACTTATATGTTTCAAGTATTCTAACTACCCCTGGAAGCCTACCTGCCAGAAAAGGCTACTCTTCTGGTGAAACTTGTGGCTTCCTTCTGGTAGATCGATCTTAACCAGCCTCTTCTTTCAACCTAAACGTGCAACCAACACTGCAGCCATAAAAGCCACTATTGGAACATAGTCTAACATTAAGCTCCAAGTACCTCTGGCCACGTTGGCCAGATCTTTGAGATTCTGCCCTCCCACTGGAAGAAAAAAGTAGCCTCTGCCAAAGCTTGGTGGTCAAAAGTATGATTCATGATATGAGGTATTTTGCTTCTTTGGAAGACCAAAAAATTTGAGCTTCAAAATGTTTTTCTTCCCTTTCATGATTTCAAAGACAGTTTTTTTGTGTCAGCAGAGCTACACGTCTTTCAAATCTTGGTCTGAAAAGAACTGTTTGAGGACAAAGGAGAATATACCTCAGGAAAACAGAGCTGGAGCTGGGAGTTTTGGTTTTTTGGTTCCTTTTTCTGTGAAAACAAAAGTCTGACCTTATGAAAAGAGGTTCTCCCCTGAGGGGCATCTACCAGAGTTCGAGCTCAGCAGTGATCTAGCCTGAGTAGGAGAGAATTTTCTAGATTTTCTCAGAGATTGATTCAGGGTATGGGAAGGGATGACTCTCTCTAGTCTAGTCATGTGCAGTGGACCAATGTGACTGGATTGGCGTGGCCACAAATCTTTGTTCACATACATTTCTCTGTCCTTCCCCTTAGGTGGATCATTTGGACAAGAATGGGCAGTGTGCTTTGGTCCATGCCGCACTCCGAGGTCACCTGGAGGTTGTCAAGTTTTTGATTCAGTGTGACTGGACGATGGCCGGCCAGCAGCAAGGAGTATTTAAGAAGAGCCATGCCATCCAGCAGGCCCTCATTGCTGCAGCCAGCATGGGGTACACGGAGGTAAGAAAGCAGGTGATAAGGTTTAGGGTTTTTAGTTTCTTTCAGGCTGTGTATTGAAGGACCTAGGAAACGGGGAAAAGGGTGGCATTATTACAAAATTAGCTGCCTAATTAATGTGGATTAGCGTTTTGGTCACTGTTTTGAGGAATAGGAGACTGAACTCCATGAAGCACTTGAATTCTCAAATACCAGCATATCTAGAATTATGAATACAGCCCTTGAGAGTGGAAAAGAACTTTGGAAATCATCTAATCCAATTCCTCCCCATCTTGCCACCCTTATTTAATAGACAGTGACACTCGGCTCCTGGGGATTATTTACTGACCTGTGCTCACATGGGTAGGCAGTGTGGAATGGGAAGAGCACCACATTTGAAATCTCAGAAGGACTAGGTTGGAGTCCCAGTTTACTACTCATTCGCTCTGGACCTTGGGCAGTTCACCTAATCTCTTAGAACCTTCGTTTCTCATCAGTAAAATTAGTCTCATATATTCTTTTTTACACAGCTGGTATGAAAGGTGCTTTGTAAGCTGTTAAACACTATACAAACAGTATTTTTGCTGAATTGTTTTACTAATCATAATAATAATACAGTAACAAATGTATGGAACTGATAACTGCTAGGAAATGCTGAACATCCAGTTCCCAGAGGGTTGTGTAGTAGAGCGGAAGTATGTGTGTGTGTGTGTGTACATACATACATACTTAAAATTAGTATAAATTTGGGGCGCCTGGGTGGCTCAGTCAGTTAAGCGGCTGCCTTCAGCTCAGGGTCCTGGGATCGAGCCCCGCATTGGGCTCCTTGCTCAGCGGGAAGCCTGCTTCTCCCTCTGCGTGTCAAATAAGTAAATTAAAAATTCTTTTAAAAAAATTAGTATAAATTTTACTGATATGAAGAACATGTAGCATACAGTTTACAGATAATGAAACATACAGTACTCTTAATGGAATGCTTGATTTTTGTGAAATTTATATCTGAAGCCAACCTGTGGTTGCAACTCTTTGATCATTTATAGATGATCTTTTTTGCTCTTTTCCCAATAATTTTCTTGTCATTAAATCTGATACATGATCTATGTTAAACTACTTCTCACCCTCATACAAATCATATTCATTAAACTGGAGCCTCTTGGAGCATTAGCACTGAATCAAATCTTGATTTATAATGTTTGCCAATTTCCAAGGTGTAAATGCTCCCACCACGGCTGATATGGAGCTGCCATTGTGATGTTGCGAAGAGATGCATAGGAGCACATACCGTGATGGGCTGTTTCCACCATACAACACAATACATATGAATAACCTCAAGAGCATAGATAGAGTGTAGTTAAATAAATAAGAAGTCGTGAGATTTTATTTTTTACTTTGTTTTTAATATAATTTGTTATTTAATTTTTAATAAACATCTTCATCTAATAACCGGCTTACAGAATTCCTGAAAATGTAATGCTCCGCTTTCAGGGGCCAGAACACGTTGGCTCACCAGTGAAACAGCTCCCCTGCCAACTGACTTCGTATGTCACCAAGGGAATATTAAGTAAAACTGGAATTTTTAATATCTGTAGGTTTTTAAACTCTCTCTACAGGTAAATTCCTGGAAACAGAGCTGTCGCTTTCCTTTAATATTAATAGTCATTCTCCCTTTATTATCCCCAAAGCAGTCCTTGTACTTCCGAGCAGAAAAAAGATCATTGCTCTACTCTGATGAAATAGAGGCCCTACATTTTCTCCATATTTGTTTTCTGGTTTTTACTGATTGATTGGTTTTTTTCTCTTTATTGGTATTTTTATTGGGAGGATGAGGGTTTGCTTCTTTAACTTAAAGATGAGGAATAAATAATTTTTTTAAAAATCACATGCTGTGTAAGTGAGTTGTGTTCAAGAGAAATGTATAAACTGTACCCGACAAAACAAATATTCATCATGGCCACTTTGGGTTTCTTTGCTGGGATAGTCGGTTCTGGTTTCTTCTGTGTGCAAGCGATTGCGTCACACTTGGGTCATCCAGGCATCTTTCAAACCTCACAGGCCAGAGCTGGTAGCATAGTTTCCCACCTGAAGTTTGAACTGACACAACTTCTCGTTCCAGATTGTCTCCTACCTACTTGATCTTCCAGAAAAAGATGAAGAAGAAGTAGAGCGAGCACAGATCAACAGTTTTGACAGTCTCTGGGGAGAGACAGGTACTTCTCATGGACATTACTCCCTTTTCTCATTAATGTGTTGTGTTCGTGTGGAGATACTCTGCATCTCACACCCTGATTTTTCCTCTGGCATACCTTTGGCAGTCTCCGTCTTATGGTTTTTGTACTGGAGATTGATTCAGCCAAAGTAAAAAGTCAAGCAATGTCCTTCTTCCAATCCTCTTTCCCTTTGGATTCTCCAAATCATTAGCACCGGAGTCGTCTTTCAACCAAAACTTTACCCTGCTCTTGTTTCCAAATAATTGTAAAAGACTGAAAGTTTCCTTACAATGTGCCAAACTAGAGCAGAAAATAGTTGTGGCCTCTCTCTTCTTTTATGGGATTCTTGTAGCAGTTAGGTATAAATATTTCTCCCATCAAAGTAACTCCACCTGCAATTGTAAACCAGGAGGTTAAATTTTTATCCACACCTCTGGCTTAACCAAGTGTTATGGCATCATGGTGTCTGATGTGGTTAAACTGATATATACTGAGTAAAGTTGCTATCTGGATGCAAAATGAAGGTACCACCCTATAAGGCATAGCTCCATGCAGTCCCTCTTGATCTGTAGCCAAGAGATGTCTATATTGCTTGGTACTTACTACAGAAACAGAAGCTTCTTCCTTGTGGCCTTTGCAGGAAATGATTGTTGTCTTTCCCCCAAGTCTAAACTGGAACATCTGGAGAAACATTAGTAACCTTTTATGTGTTGTTATGAAACCAGGGCAATGAAAACTGTAGAGTCACCACAGATATGTGTCATATTTGCCAGACCAATATTGAGATGACCAACTTAGGGGGAATATTTTCTTAAACAGAGAGGGTGTGTCTTTTAGTTAGAGTCAGAGTGTTATTAAAAATAAAGGAGGCACTTGAATTCATTTAAAATTTATCACGACCTATCAGATTGTGACGTTTCCATTCACAGCTTCTTTAACATGATGTAGAATGGTCCAAAGCTCAGGAATTTGCTTCTCCAACTATCCCTCCCTCTGTAAGAACCAAAGGGAACAGATGTCAGGCAGCTGCAGCTTCAGAGCCCGTGACAGATTAAAGGAAAATGTGCAGCTGGAAACAGCTGCTATCTCTGGGACTCTTCCCTGCGGGAAACCAGAGGCCGGACTTTGGGGAAGGGACTGACCAGGACACCAGCAGTTTTGGAGCATGTATATCGTGACTGCGAGCTGCAGAAGGGGCATGGTGCTTTACTGTTCCCGTCAGCACGGCCCTGCCCAGCACAGTGTTGCTGAACCTCCCAACAGGCTCCCGTTGCCAGCCGTGCACGTGGAACCTCAGGGGAGGGTGGAAAGGAGTATGGCCTGATGAGGGTATGGATAGGAATTATAAGGCTGGCAATCATAGTGATGAATATCAAACATATTCTAGTGCTGTACTTGAAAGGATTTCTTAACAATGTTCAAGAAGGGGAGTGAACTAAGTAGAAGACTTATTTTTATTGATATGAATTTCTTATTAGGATAAAACTTTATGGGGGTGCCTGGGTGGCTCAGTCGGTTAGACTTCGGACTCTTGATTTCAGCTCAGGTCATGATCTCGGGGTTGTGAGATTGAGCCCCGTGTCAGCTCTGCCCTGGGTGTGGAGCCTGCTTGCAATTCTCTCCCTCTTCCTCTGCACCTCTCTCTCTCTCTCTCTCTCTCTCTCTCTCTCCCCCCCCCTCAAAAAAAAGAATAAAATTTTATGGCCTCAGGACTTTTTTAAATATCTCACTTTAACGTGCACAACAAAGTTTGTTACAGTAATTATTTAAATATGTACCATGTCTCAAGATTGTAAAAAAATCAAAGCTTCATGTCAGTTGGCTTGTAATCAGAATTGTGTTGTGTTTAACTTGATACGTATATGAAATAATTTCAGCATTATAAACATAAAATGCTGTTTAAATAGTGCTAGAATGAAATGCATCTGTAATACAATTTATAGATCTATAAACCGTTATTTGGCTTTAGGAAATTTTCTAGGAAATAATGTTTGTGCTATGTCCCTATACCTCCCCACTAATACAGAACAGACTATGAGTTGCTTTTCTATCTATCGTGATAGAGTTACTAAGTATACATGTTCCTTTCTACCTTATAGCACATAATCATTTAAAATGTGTAATGACCCAGTGAATTGTGATGTTTTCTCCAATGGCAAAATCTTACACATGTCCCCTTGTTTGGAGAAGGAAGGTTTGTGACCTGCAGCCCTGGTCTAAACAACACAGTTTTTACCTAAGGAAAATCAGAAGGTTGTGATGTTCCCAACATCAGTGGTGTCAAATCTAAGACACCACTAACTATAGGAAACTATATGGCCATTATTTTATGTGCCACTACAAAAAAAGAAAGCCTCAGCCTATTAAACTGACACAGTTCTTTATTATCACAGCAATCACAAGATGCATCCCAGTTTCAGAGATGTTAAAACTGAGGGTTCTAGAGGGGAGGGGCTTGGGGGGAATGGGTTAGCCCGGTGATGGGTATTAAGGAAGGCACATTCTGCATGGAGCACTGGGTGTTATATGCAAACAATGAATCATGGAACACTACATCAAAAACTAATGATGTAATGAATGTTGACTAACATAATAAAATAAAATTTAAAAAAATATGAAGGGAAAAAAGTGCATCTTAGAATCAATGAAATTTGGGTGCCTGGGTGGCTCAGTTGGTTAAGCGACTGCCTTCAGCTCAGGTCATGATCCTGGAGTCCCGGGATCGAGTCCCGCATCGGGCTCCCTGCTCAGCAGGGAGTCTGCTTCTCCCTCTGACACTCCCCCCTCCTGTGCTCTCTATTTCTCTCTCTCTCATTCTCTCTCTCAAATAAATAAATAAAAATCTAAAAAAAAAAAGAATCAGTGAAATTTATCTTAGCCTATAGTGAAATAATAATTGAGATGTAATTTTTACAGAGCGGATTTTCTAAAAGGTGGTCACTAGAATATCCTGGTTGCTTTTGTCCTCCTTTTTCAGCCTCTTTATTCTTCCAGATAGCATCTCCCTACATCCAGCCTCCACCATCTGGCTGGCCCCCTCCCATCCCATAGGGTTTTCACAGACTTCTTATGGAACAGTACAGAAGAAAAGCAATTAGATTGTTCACCACTCCCTCTTCTTTCTTGTCTTATGAGCTTAGACTAGGACCAGCATTAAAAATCATCTAGCAATTCTGGAGGGTCTGAACCGTCCTATGACCCAAAAGAAGCAAGAGTTCACAAAATAAACAAGATACCCATAACTCATGCCCTTATCATCCTTTGCCTACGTTACTGCAACTGCCTGATCTCTGATCTTGTCAGCCTTTCGTGATTCATCTCCCTTGTGACTTCCACCAGAGTGATCTTTGTTGATGTCACTTTCCTGCTTACCACCCTTTATTGACCACCTGTACCATTAATGAAGTTATTTAGTGTAGCCTAAGAAGACCAGTCATGATCTCTAGCCTTATCTATTGCCTGGCTTCTCCGGTAACTCCAATAACAATAAACTTGCTGTCTCCCACCTCAGTGCCTTTGTACGTGCTCTCCCTGTGCCTGGCCTGCTCTCAGTCTTCTCTTTCTCTTTCAGCATCCAGCTCAGATGAACATCTCTTCCTGAAGACCTTCTCAGACACTTCTTCCTCTGTTACCTCCATACAACTTATACACTCGATAGCAATGTAATTTTTATTTGTCTGTTATCCTTACTCAACCTTGAGTTCCTTGAGAGCAGAGACAGTGTCTGACAGATAGTTCAATAGATGTTTAACGTTTTGGAAGCAGTGATCAGTTTATGTCTCCCCAACCACCTGTCTCTCATTGGTCTTGCATGACTTGTCTGTGCTACACTCTTTCACAGTTGAAAATAGATAAACAGAACCATTTGCTTTGCCGCATTCTGTTTAGTATCCCCAACCCATCCAAGCCGACTTTGGCTATTTCCCCAACTCTGAGCTGCATCCTGTCTGCCTCTTCAGACTCCTTAGATGTTTCGCTTTGAAAAAGGACCATTTATGTCAGATAATCTCATCAGCTGCTGACAAGCTAGGGAACAAATTCTGTTACTGGTCTCTTAGGAAGAGATTTGGCTCCAAACTGCTGTGTTTGCTCTAAGAACCAGTGTGTTGTTTTACAGAACCGACTTTACCTTAATCTTCTTTCTTTCAGAAAGTTTTAACAGTTTTTGATAAGACTTACATAAAATCCAGCCAAAGCAGTTTTTTGCTCTTGGATTTTTTAAAAAGTACCGATCCCATTGTACATAGTTGTGTTGTTCTGAGATGAAATTGGCCAGCTGTGTTAATGACCATGTCCAGCTATCAGCTGGAGATTCCTACCAAGTTACATCATAACCTGAGCAACAGAGATGATACAACAAAGAAAACAACCAAATGGAACATTCCCTCTCATATAAATGTGTTATCCAGTGAGTTGAAATGCGCCAGCCAGAGCAATATAACTCCATGTTAGAGTGAACAATAGAAGTTTTAGCTTTCAAGATGGGCACTGGTTGTAAGTTTTCAGCAGTGTTCTGTGAGCTGGCATCATTGGTGAAAGGCTTGATTCTGAAATACTGGCAATATTTTCTCCATCAGGCTACAGATTCTTTTGTGAAAAAGAATGTATTTGCCCTCCCCCCACCATACACAGGGCATTAAAAGTGAGGTTTGCTGCATAGCTACTTTAAATGGAATCAGAAAGTAAGAGTTAGAAATTTTCCAAATCATTTGTTTCGTGTACCAACAAGATGATTCTTACGGTTCCTAATGAGTGTCGACCCCAGTCAGGTTATTTTTGTTCCAGCTTTACTGAGAGCTCATTTATATATACACACATGTAAACTAAGGTGTATGACACGATGGTTTCCAGTCAAGTTCTTAAGCTACTCTTGTGTTCTGACCCAAGAATTAAAGTGTTGTAGTTTTTTGGGGTTTTTTTTTCCTGAACTATTAGAAATATAAAGTTGGGTTCTTGGGGCACTGGGTGACTCAGTCTGTTAAGTGTCTGCCTTCGGCTCAGGTCATGATCCCAGGGTCCTGGGATCGAGTCCCGTATCGGCCTCCCTGCTCTGCGGGGAGTCTGCTTCTCCCTCTGACCCTCCCCCCTCTCATGTGCTCTCTCTCATTCTCTCTCTCTCAAATAAATAAATAAAATCTTTAAAAAAAAAAGTTAACCCCGGGGCTCCTGGGTGGCTCAGTCTGTTAAGTGTCTGCCTTCGGCTCAGGTCATGATGCCAGGGTCCTGGGATCAAGCCCCGCATCGGGCTCCCTGCTCAGTGGGGAGCCTGCTTCTCCCTCTGTCCCTGCCCCCACCCCCCGCTTGTGTTCTCTCTATCTCTCTCAGATAAATAAATAAAATCTTAAAAAAAAAAAAAAGAAATATAAAGTTGGCAAAGATCACTTTGATGTAAGGAACAAGACACAAAACTTCTTAGTCAAGTAAATAATCATACCCATCAATACCTGTACTCACTCATTCAGGGCTTGGAAATGACCCTCACCTCAGATAAACCTCTGGCCTGCTGTGAGGAATAGGGCAGAAATGCCACTGTTAAGAGTTCCAAAATAAAACTGAAAATACACATAAGACAAGACACATCTAGTTTGATTAAATATATCTTCTAAAACTGTTACATTTTCCTTCATAAATTCTTACCCTTGAGGAAAGAAAAGATTACTTGAAGGCTTATCTTAGTGGTTTGACAGGTAGTTTGACTTTGCATATGAATCAGTTGTGGATGAATTTGACCAAGCCCAAAGACAAAATGCCACCAGTTGCCCTTGAATGAAAAAAATTTCAAGTGACCATTTGATTTGCATCTCAGTTGCTTTCCTGATTAGCTACGAACTTTTGCAAACTGAAATATTATCTGCACTTGCCAAATACTATCTTTTTCTGATTTGCCATTGGAGTAGGTGGCCGTGATCAAGGAAGGACTTGCTGGCCACCACATCAGGTGTCCAAGTCAGTTTGGGAACAAAGCTCTCTATCCTCTTTCTTTAAAAGCATAATTCCTGCCACCTTCTAACAGTGTTTACCGTCCTCCCCACCCTCCTCCATTCTTTAAAACACTGAACCTATGCATTTGAGATGCCATGGTCAAATGAAATATATATGTATATATTTGTTCAAGTATGGACTTAGTAGAAAATCTATCTCCAAATCCCTCACGCTACTGTTGACACAGTGCTCAGAGAATGAAATAGGCACTCGTGAATCTCCACTCTCTCAGAGATCATATACAATTGATAATAGCACAAAACGAAGAATGTTTAAGTTTCTCCCTGTTGTGTCCCTTGTAGTCACTATAGCTATTTTTATTATCGGTGACTCCATTATTTTATATTCAGAAGAGCCTTTGTCATACCTTTCCTCTCATCTTTAAGACTATTACCTTGAACAGTTTGACCCTTATATGAAAATGGTTGCGGATGTACTCGAAACTTCTCTCTCAACTAATGGAGAAGAAAAAAAAAAAAAGAAAACTGGCCCAAGAACCTGAGACTGCCGTTCCTGGCTTTGGTTCTTTAGGTTTAAGGGCCCAGGAGTAGAGGTTGGCCAGAAGTGGTTCCTAGCTAATTCTAAAGAAGACCTTATTTGGGGCACCTGGGTTAAACATCGTCTCAGGTCATGATCCCAGGGTCCTGGGATCAAGCCCCGTGTTGGGCTCCCTGCTCAGCGAGAAGCCTGCTTCTCCCTCTCCCTGTGCAGCTCCCCCTACTTGTGCTCTCTCATGCTCTGTCAAATAAGTAAATAAAATCTTAAATAAATACTTTAAAAATAAAACAAAAAAACCTTACTCTGCAAGGCCCTTCTCTCTACATTCCCCCCACGCGTACACACCCCTGAAAGGTTTGTAGCTAAGAAGAGATACCAAAAAAAGAGGTAAGTCAAAAGTAGGGAAGACAGTCTGGGTAGGAAAAATGAAACCAAGTAAGTTTAATCAAAGGTGATTTTTAATAAATGTATTATTACAATTGTCTCCATATATTGTAAGCCCACTAGAACGTGGTTTTATTCATGATTTTTCTTTAAAAATTTCCTTCATGGCAAAAGTAGCTAATACCATCCTTGGAGGTAAAGTAGCAGTTACATTAATCAAGCACAGATACACTGCCATGCTTACACAGAGGGCTGGGGAGGGCAAGACCCACCTGTTCTCAGTCTGTGTTCTCTGCCCTTAGCACTGACAGCTGCAGCCGGAAGGGGCAAGCTGGAGGTGTGCCGTCTGCTCTTGGAACAGGGGGCAGCAGTGGCCCAGCCAAACCGCCGAGGGGCAGTGCCCCTGTTCAGCACTGTGCGCCAGGGCCACTGGCAGGTAAGCAGGGTAGCTACTTCCAGTCCCTCAGGTAGGGGTGAGTTCTAGACAGGAACTTCAGAAGCAGAGAGCAAAAAAAAAATCACAAAGTTTGGGTTACTCAGCAGTCATCGGGTTTGAGGACTTGGGCCTTTGTTATTAGTATTCTCGTTCATTGAGAAGATACCTAACATTCAAAATCATGGCCCATCTCTAAAAAAAAATAATCATCATGATCTATATTGTATAGAAGGACTAGCTACTTCTGGCGTGGTCATGGAGTGACCTGCTTCTCACATATCCACAGGTCCACATATTCACAGGTCCTCTGGAAGGTTCATATCCCAAAAGATCCCTGCTAACAGGTGTCTTGCAGATGTCTCAAACTTGCTAAAAGAAAACGTGGTGTATGTAAATTCTAGCTATGCAATCTTTCCAGGTGTTTGAATTCCGGATAAATGCTAATTTATACACTTGGGATGGAAAAGAAAGCAGATTGGTAAGAATCTTTGGAAGTATTTGTGTAGAAAAAAGGCTCTAGAAGCCAAACAGTATAAAAGAGTTATCAGAGGCACTTTATTGTTGTATTCGCTTCAGTCATAAATACTCACTACAGGCAGACTAGCAACCCCTACAGGTCAATAAAATGGCACCGGCAAAGGTAGTGACTTGTGTTGGAGCTTCCATTGTGGGATTGTTCAGTCTACATCTTGGCATTTGGTATCTTAAATTCTTTTTCACTTAGGGGCCGAGTCAAACATTCAGAGTTGAATTCTCATTTGGCTATCCTTAAGAGAGTCCGAGATCAGATCACATGGTACTAGAACTCTGCAGGAATTAGAGGGACCCTTGCGGTAGAAAGCTACATGGAGAGCTGACTTGCTTGTGCAGTAGGAGGAGATCCCCCAGTGCAGGGAACAACGTGCACGTGTCTACTCAGCAGCTCTTCCTGGCTCATTCGTCCCTGTTTCTCCGCACTTGCAGATTGTTGATCTTTTACTCACCCATGGAGCTGATGTCAACATGGCAGACAAGCAAGGTCGTACTCCCCTGATGATGGCTGCCTCTGAAGGCCATCTGGGAACTGTGGACTTTCTACTTGCACAAGGTCAGTCTTGGGATGCCAGAGCTGCATGGTCAGTGCCTATAATAGTCCAAGGAACTCATGATTTCCAGTGATGGGTTCTAAGAGATGTTAAGAATAGATATTATTGGGCACCTGGGTGGCTCAGTTGGTTAAGCGACTGCCTTCGGCTCAGGTCATGATCCTGGAGTCCCGGGATCAGGTCCCACATCGGGCTCCCTGCTCGGCGGGGGGTCTGCTTCTCCCTCTGACCCTCCCCCTCTCATGTGCTCTCTCTCTCTCATTCTCTCTCTCAAATAAATAAATAAAATCTTTAAAAAAAAAAAAAAGAATAGATATTATTGGGGTACCTGGGGGGCCCAGTCAGTTGAGCATCCAGACTCTTGGTTGCAGCTCGGGGCATGATCTCAGGGTCCTGGGATCGAGCCCCGCATTGGGCTTCTTGCTTAACGGGGAGTCTATTTGAGTTTCTCTCCCTCTGCCCCTCCCACCCTGTGCACATGCGTGCATGCTCTCTCTCTCTCTAAATAAATAAATCTTTAAAAAAAAGAATATGTATTATGAATCTAGTTGATTAAAATGTGAAAGTCCATCTCCTCTCCTCTGCTCTTATATACAGTGGGACCCTTTAATTCTGATATTCTTTGTATTCTAAATTCTCTAATTCAAATCTATAATCTCCAAACTTTGATTTTTTTTTCTAATATACACTCAGTAGATGTTCATCTTCCAAGGACTGTTTTTTCTTTAACTTTTATCAATTCCTGTACAACTAATATTTTTCTTGTAATCCAAAGGAGGCAAACAGAGGTTAAGACAATTGCTGACAGTGGGACCCTATTTGAGAAATCAGGATATTATATTATCTTCTATTGTAATAAATTCTTTTTTTTTTTTTTTTAAGATTTTATTTATTTATTTGAGAGAGAGAGAATGAGAGAGAGAGAAAGCACATGAGAGGGGGGAGGGTCAGAGGGAGAAGCAGACTCCCTGACAAGCAGGGAGCCTGATGCGGGACTCATCCAGGGACTCCAAGATCATGACCTGAGCCGAAGGCAGTCGCTTAACCAACTGAGCCACCCAGGGGCCCCGTAATAAATTCCTTTTGACATAACATTCACGTACTCCTGGTGAATGAGAAATAAAGAGATTGCAGTCACACCACCTTCAAAAGCATTTCAGGCTCCTTTTGATTGCTCTGACCTCAGTCACTTATGCAAAATAGGAGTGAATGAGGGTGGACTTCTGTAGAAGGAAAACTCAAGTCACTGATGACTCTACAGTACCATCTAGTGGACTTTGAGCATTTACATGAAGTAGGAGATACTGTGATCGTGACCAGCCTAATGACTCCATTCCAGTTAGCCTTCCCTATTAGTAAACTGGACCTAAACATCTATAATTATATCTATGGGCACATTCACTTCAAGCAAGCCAACCTCCTGAAGAATCATAACCAGGCCGGCACAACTGAGGGTAGTCAAGTTAAGAAGAAGGCGAGGTTTCTTCTAAGATTTTAAACTAAAAGCTCAAAGATTTGTTGGATCTTTAGCTGTATCCTCCAAAGAAGATTTGTTTGTTTCCATAGCCTCAGACTTGCAGTGCTGGGTCAGAACCAGAGAACCGCTCTCCCAGCATGCAAAGTGGTTCTTGCTTCTCCAATACAAGCCAACAAACAAGTCTGGTTTCGTGATATCTATCCTTACTTCTGCCAAGAGGGGGTTGGAGGAGGATAGGGGGTGTACCTAGATTCTCAGGATAAGATGGGGCAGGAATAAATGTCCCAGAACAGCCCAAGTCTACTGGAAAAGGCAAGACCTCTTCAGCCACTGATAACCTTTGGATCACTGCACAGTGTCTGGCACATGCCCGTGGAAGCTTATCAGACACAGATTCCAGAGATTTGTTCTCCCTTACCACTGCAGACATGCAGGTCTTTGTACTCCCGATCTTCCTCAACTTATGATGAGCTTACGTCCTGATAAACCCAAGTTTAAAATATTGTAAGTTGAACATATCTTAAGTTGAAAATGCATTTAATACACCTAGCCTATGGAACATGATAGCCTTGTCTACCTTAAATGTGTTCACAACACTTAAATCAGCCTACAGTTGGGCAAAATCATCTAACACAAAGCCTACTGTATAACAGTACTGAATATCTTATGTAGTTTATCAAATACGGTACTGAAAGTGAAAAACAGAATGGTCCTAAGTGTATCTGTTGTTTATCCTCATGGCCGTGTGGCTTCTGGTTTGCCACCGCTCACTTCCACTGGCCAGCATCACAAGAGAGCATTGCACCACACATCACTAGCTGGGAAAAGGTCCAAATTCAAAATCCGCAGGACATTTTCTACTGAATGCGTATCACTTTCGCACCATCATAAAATTGAAAAATTGTTAAGTCAGGCCATCATAAGTCAGGGGTCCTCAGTATTTCATTTTTTCACACTTAAATCAGAGACTTCCACTAAATCAACAAATCCTACAAACCTTTATTCAGCCGCTGTTACTTGCAGAACGCTATACCAGTGCCATGCCAGTGAGTGATTTTTGCTAATACACCGTAATCTGTGCCCTCCGAGACTCTGTAATCTGGCAAGGAGGGGGTGAAACGAAGATAAATACCTGAAAAGCAGAGAACACTCAGTGCTCTGATAAAGGTATTTGAGTTAGGAAAGGACAGACTTTGAAAGGTGAATAGGAAAAAAGTTTCGTATTCAGGGAGGGGGCCGTGAATGAAAAGTCAAGGAGGAGATCCAGCACACAACAGGTTTGGGGCAATAACTCAAGTTGTCTGGTAAAGTACATGAGGGCTCTTGGGAAGTAAAATTGGAAACGTATGTGGAAAGAAAGTCAAAAGGAACAGACTAAAAGAGGGTTTGGACTTAATTCTTTTTTTTTTTTTTTTTTTTTTTTCTTTTTTTTTTTTTTTTTTTTAAGATTTTATTTATTTATTTGACAGAGAGAGAGACAGCGAGAGCAGGAACACAAGCAGGGGGAGTGGGAGGGTGAGAAGCAGGCCTCCCGCCGAGCAGGGAGCCCGATGTGGGACTCGATCCCAGGACCCTGGGATCATGACCTGAGCCGAAGGCAGACGCTTAACGACTGAGCCACCCAGGCGCCCTGGACTTAATTCTGAAGGCAATGGGGAGCCTTTCAAGATTTTTTTTTTTTAATATTTTATTTATTTATTTGAGAGAGAATGAGACACAGAGAGCATGAGAGGGAGGAGGGTCAGAGGGAGAAGCAGACTCCCTGTCGAGCAGGGAGCCCGATGCGGGACTCGATCCAGGGACTCCAGGATCATGACCTGAGCCGAAGGCAGTCGCTTAACCAACTGAGCCACCCAGGCGCCCTCAAGATTTTTTTAAAGGGAATTGATGCCAGAGTTGTGCTTTAAAAAAAAAATCCCTCTGGCAGGGGTGTGAACAGTAGATTTGATTGGAGGAATTATAGTGGGCTGGGGGGTCCGGTAGGAAGCACTGTGATAGATGAGAAGTAACGAGGCTCTAATCCAGGTGCGGTAGCTGTTAGAATAGAACAGGAGGGCCAAGTACAAAAACGATTTTGGATATAAAGAGTAATTACATGTAGGAAATAACGACAGTTGAGTTAAAGATAACTCCAAAGTTTTAAAGTGGATGTTTGGAAGACGTGTGATTCCACTAACTGCAATGGGAAGAAGAGAGAGGAGGGGAAGATTACATATTGAATTTTGGACGCATTTTGAATATATGGGTTTATTTCATATGTATCTCCTATTAATTTCTTAAATTCCAGCTTTCCTTATCTTTGGAAAATCAGCTTATCTGTAATATACATCCAGAACCTTCTTATCCTGCTGCTTCTACCGTTGGAGGCTCTGTCCAGGGAATTTATAGATGGTCCATCTGAGAAAACTCCTTAGATTCTCTCCCACATTCAAATTCATTATGTGTTAAGAGTCGATGTTTTCATTGTAAACTATACCATTGTGAAAAGAGAACCCAGTACATAAATGGCTGTCATCAGGGTTAAAGGTATGGTACCTTCCAGCCCTTCATCCTGCTGTGGGAAGCCACAGGGTCTGGTTGTCTGACCTCTAGGAGTAAAAACATGGTAGGCCAGAGAACTGCTGAGTAGACCCTGAGCCTAGCTGTGGCACATGCTAAGCTTGATCTGACATCTGACCCCTGTCTAGCTGAGGAGGCAGCCTGGAAAGTGTTCTGTAGGCAGTAAGTTGATCCTAATTTAGTTAGTGTGCCATGTCAACGGTGTGAAAAGAATGTCTTAGGTACTCTTCAAAACTAGCAAGGAAATGATAGTCCCTTTGCCATCCAAGAGCTTGCAGTCTACGCTAAGAACCAAATATATATTGAATTTTAGACTAATTACAAAACAGTGTTATCGAGTATGCTTGATCCTTACAGATGAAAACATAGGAACACTGAAGAGAAACATGTAGAATATCAAAAAGGCTAAGAGAGTGAGGATGGGATCATTGAAGGCTGACAAGTTTAATTAAACTCTGAATTTCCTTGTGGCCTGGGCTCAGTTTCTTCCCATGAGTTCATCTCCCCCACATTCTAAGGAGAGAGAGCGTGGCCTGGTGCTATCACCAGTGATAAACATGGACTGAGCTCCTTCTGTTTTATGAGAATCTCTCCAGGAGTTTATACTATTACAAAAGGAAGACTTTTGCTGAGTTCTGAAAGCATTCACTGAGAATTTATTACATGTAAGTAGGATACATAAAAAAAGATTAAGAACAGAATACGGTGACATGTGTTAAGCACATTCAAGACGAGGTGAACAGTGAACCAGGAGAAGCTTCCTGGAAACGGGGGGATTTGGGATGGTCCCTAGAGAATGAGTAAAAGTGAGGCAGGAATGAAAAGATTCCCCACGTGGGAGCAAACATGACTGCGCTTCGACAGAGCGTGCAGTCTCGGTACCAGCCTTCCCTCCTGCTCTGGATGGCCCCGTGTTGCGTGTTTCCTCAGCCCTGTGTTACATTGGCTCTTATAGGTGCCTCCATTGCTCTCATGGACAAAGAAGGACTGACAGCCCTCAGC